TAGTAGTAGTAGTAGTAGTAGTAGTAGTTTATATGCCACCGAACTCCTAACAATTCTACATGGCTCACAATAATCAAACAAAGAAACTGCAATAAAATCAATAAAAGTTAAAAGTTGGCAGGTGTGACAGACCAGATGGAATGAAGTGAGAGGTCTCACTCTTCTTGCCAATGAAGAGCCAGGTCTTCACAGCTCTTCTGAAGAGCAGCAGAGTAGGGGACATCTGGATCTCGGGGAAAACCTCATTCCAGAGGGCAGGCACTGCTACAGAGGTGACATTGCTTAATCAAAGAACCCAGAACATGCCAACCTTGTAAGCCTTTAATTAGCCAGGCAGATACTATGGGGGACAGGCAGATAATTTATGTTATAATCTGTAAGTGCTGCTTTCAGTGCTGATGGAGAAAGGGCAGAAAGAAAGGAAAACCACACTCTCCATTGCAAGTTTTACAGCCTTCCTTTCACTCATATGCTTTGACGAAAAACAAATTCCATGTCAGTGATTTTAATTAAGGTTCAAGCATTCATTGTAGACTGGGAAATTTGCAGTCTGGAGCATTCCTGTTGAATGTTAGACCTGTTTGATCAAGCTATTTTTCAAGAAACTATATTCCATTCCCCCCTCCCTCATGGTTTTCTGTTTTTTTCTTTTCTTTTACCCCAAGTCCAACAGCCAGCATGTTCACTGAACATGTTCAGTTCTCACGGAGGTGCCTTTTTTATATATCTTTGAGTGCTCACCTCTCACATATACTTTATTTATTCACTGAAAAATATGTTAATGTGATAGCAGGGTATCTTTGGCAAATCCAGGCACTGGGTAAAACCTAGAAAGAAGTGCCTCTGCAAGAGCTAATTTTAAATGACATATGGCTGCAAACACTGCAAGTAGTTCAAACAGACTGCTTGATCCTATATTCTCATTTAATTAATATATCATGCAGAGGGGGAAGTAGGTAGCTGAAATAAGCCTTCCTAATGATCTTGGGTGGAACTGTGATTTCTATGCAATGTCACCTTAATGAGTTTGCTTTTTACTACTATTACTCATTGCCCACAGATGCATTTCCTTGCTTTTCCTGACTTCCCTGTTTTGTTTTTCATCTTTGAGTAGACATCTGTCAAATGACCATTTCTAAGTTCTGTCTATACCTTGTGTCTTATCGATGCCCTTCATTTTCCGTATATTTCAACAAACCTATTTTCTGTATAGTTCAGAGTTTCTGTGAAGAAGTCCACATAGCCTACTTCAAAGACAAAAAAACCCAACAACTTATGCATCCAAGAAAACATGCAACTTAGGGAAATTACAGCACACACATAAGAAAAGAAATGCAACTCAAAAGTGTGGATACATTGTATTTTATCCTTCAGATTAGATTTAATTTATTTATATAAAGCATTTGTAGTTTGCCCTTCAGGAAACTGCACAGAACAGCTTGCTTGCTTGCTTCATTGAGTCATTGATTCATTCCTTTCATATATGTCTTGCTTTTTCTCAGTCAGCTTAAGTGAGTTTACAAGGTGCTCTTCCAGCACTTCATTTTACTTCCACAAAATACTGTGAGGTGGGTTTGGATGGCTGGGAGTGGGGGGAGAGCCACGTTACCCAGTGAATTCTGTAGGAACTTGAACCTCGGTCTACTCAGGCCAACTCCAACATTATAATCAGTGCCTTATTTATTTATTTATTTATTTATTTAGCAGACTTATCCCTGCCCATCTCCCCCCAATGGGGGATTCTGGGCGGTTTACAACAAATTAAAACAAATACATAATAAAAATTTATAAAAAAGAAAAACACATTTACACAAGATGGAAGGAAGGGGCCAATGGAAGCAACACCAGGCCTCTATGGGGCTAGCCAACCCCATTTCTGATTACCTCCCTCCCCGGCCAGATGGCAGAGCCAGGTCTTCAAATCCCTCCGAAAGGCCGGGAGTGAGGGGGGCTGTCTCACCTCTGGGGGCAGGATGTTCCAAAGGGTGGGGGCTACAGCAGAGAAGGCCCGCCTTCTGGACCCCGCTAGTTGGAGTTCTTTTGCCAAGGGGGTCCGGAGCATGCCCTCTCTGTGAGATCAGGTGGGATGGGTTGAAATCATGGGGGATTGAAATCTTATGCTGACTCTGCATTATATTCTGTATAATAGTTAGGGTTAGGTTGGGGTTAGGGTTGAGAATTACATGACAATTACTGCAATGTACTGTATATAAGCATATGATTAAAGATTGATCATGCATATTTTTATAACAGATTATAAAATGAATTTATCCTACAATTTTTTATTATATATATAAAATTGTAGGATAAATTCTCCTGGGATTCTTGACCCCCTTTTCTGTATAATTTTGCAGTTGTTCTATTCTGTTAGACTCTCAGTGATGTCATCCTGCTATAAAGAGGTTGGCTTGAATCTTCCCAAAATTATTCCTTCAAATAATTTTGTTTTTTTTAATATTGTAATAAAAATAATTATTTAAATTATTTTTGAATAATTTAAAAAAAATGTTCATGGGCATAGAGTCTGGCACAGTCATAACCATTTTAATCTTCCAAGTTATCTTAAGATTCCAGAGTCTGCCTACAGTTTTGGGGTTTGCGGGGAGGGAACATATTTTATAATTAAACAGAAAAAGAAAATTTTTAAAAAGTAGGGAAGAAAGCAAAACAGCAAACATACAAGCACATTTATTAACACTTCTCAAATGTGTATATCTGTATAGAAAGTTTTACACAACAGTTTCAATGCATGATGACCATATTTCATTATAATCTAGAGTTTGCTCAATGCTACAATTTGGCTTATAAAATATTTTTGTTTCTTTAACTTCAGATCACCTGTGAAAGAAATGGATTCTTGTGAACGAGAAATCATAGTCTGGGTTTGCCAGGAAGAGAAGATTGTCAGTGGGCTGACTAAACGCACAACTTGCATGCAAGTAGTTGAAGCTTTGCTGGAAGAACATCAGGCCACCTTTGCTGAGAAGAGATTTCTCTTTGGGCAACCTAAAGATTATTGCATTATAGAAAAATGGAGAGGTTCTGAGCGGGTCCTTCCACCTCTCACAAAAATGCTCAGACTCTGGAAAGCCTGGGGGGAAGAGCAACCTAATTTGCACTTTGTCTTGGTCAAGGCAGATGCTTTTCCCCCCTTGCCTTTGTGGAGGACATCTGAAGCCAAGGTAGTCCCAAACCTAGAAACACACTGGGATATCAGTCCAGCAAATTATATGAAGATGTTGCCAGTGGACAAGCAAAAGAGAATTCTTAGAAAAACCTTCCGGAAACTGGCCAAACTTAAACAGGACGGAGTTCTGCAGGAGAGGGACAATATAGAAACATTAATTCATCTCATCCTTTCTCAAGACCATACTATTCACCAACAAATCAATAGAATGAAGGAATTAGATGTGGAAATTGAAGAGTGTGAAGCCAAATTCCATCTAGATCGGCTTGAAAGCGATGGGGAAAACTATGTTCAAGAGTCTTATTTAACGCCTTCTTTTAGCAATTCTGAACAGCAAATGGAAATGCCTCACAACAATCAGCAGGAAAGTTCAAGCAAATGTGATGGGATTTTACAAGTGGAAGAAGGACTAAAGCACCACAAGTTAATGATTGAAAAGCTCTCTGCTGAAATTGAACAAGAAGTTAAGGAAACTGAAAAAAATGGAGACGTATGGACAGAAGATGCTTCTAAAAGTGAAGTGGAGAATTCGGATGTAGAAAGTGTTAAGAATGAGCTGGAGAGAAGTATGAAAGATGCCCTAAGGATTCACTCTCAGTTGAACTGCATCCAGCAGGAACTAAAATATAGGGACTTGATGCTTCAAAAGAAGGAGAAAGAATATGAACTACTTGTAGAAGAGCTTAGTGGTTTGCATGCTAAAGACAAAAATGAATCCAGGTGCCCAACCAGCGAAGAGAAAACAGAGGACAACGAAACTGGTACAAACAACTTTCCAGGAACAGATCATCTTCACAAAATGACTAACTTAGACATAAATGATACAGACTCTGACACTGGAATCAGTTCTGCTCACAGCCAAGACTCAGAGACAGCTATAGGAGATACGTTGCTGTTGTCCACATAATTGACAACCTTTATTTTAACTGAGGCTAATTTAATATTTGCACCCTAAAAATCTCACATAGAAAATGTGGCATTTTTTCTATTAAATCTAGTTCTAATGGGATATGTTTCCCTGATTTTTTTTTAATAAAAATCAGACAAATCAGAAATAGAGCTAAACCTTAGAAACAGAGAGGAGGATACAGTAAAATTATATTCCCTTTTTCAAATAATATACCAAATTCAACTGTATTATTGATCATGTAGATACAGAGCATCTTGGTGAAGATGGGCTGAGGTCTAAGTCCACGTAGCAATACAAGTTCTCCTTTGTATGCATTATCTGTCCATAGAATTCCCTGGGGAATATTGGCTTTTGTTTTTATATACTGATTCACTGCCAATTCAGTGCAATATCAACATGGATACTTTGCCACACACAGTATAATCTTTGAATGTCTTTCTCTGATACTTGCAGAAAATGCACTGTATTAGAGGGAACAGTACAGCAGACGTCTTGTGCTGCATTTTATTAAATCGCAAAACAATGTTCAGAAGTTGCTATTCCAGTCAAAGTTCTTGAGCTGCATATAAGCAATGTTTTTGTCAAATGTTCAATAGAATTGTTTACTACTGTTGCATATCTCTAAATAAGATGTAGATTTTACAGATCAGTTTTTTTTCTAAATATAAAAGTAAGAAAAATATATTGAAGATGGATGAAGAAAATAAATTTCACAGTGCCATAGGGCTAAATAAGAATCTAATAATTTAACTCTTTAACTAGCATATACTAGTTAAGCAAGAACAGGTTAGGTCAGTGCTTGAATATATGTTGTAGATGAGGCCTACCAGACCAATAGTCCCAGATTACAGCATGTGAATGCTATTTATCTTGGACCAATGTAGTGATACAGTGAGAAAGGCCATCAATAAGGCCACAATCTAGAATGGACAATAGAAGCATTATTTGTATGTTTAACTTTTTTTTTCTTTTACATTCTGACTTGATGTTTCACTTTTTGCAAACATCAATTATCTACCTTGTTGTTATTGTTTTTAATGACTGGGAAAATTCTCTTCTTTGGGTTCACCCATCCCCCTGAATCTACAGATTAATCTCTGGATGTTATGAAGAGATTTTCCTTAAATATTTCTTTTTGCTGACTAATTTTTTTTAAAAAGTGTGGCTGAATCACTTGATGTTATACTGAATGCCTTCATGGGAACATTTTTGAGCTCTATTACCTATTTGTTCCTAGTGGAAACATAGATGACTAGCAGTACTGTTATCATAGTTTTATAATAATTTATTATATATATATAGACACACACACACTATAATTTTCAAGTCTCTGCTATTGAAAATATGCTAACCTGTATTATTTGAAGAATTGCTGCGGTTCATGTAATATATAAAAAGATAATTTTTCATACCTTTGGCAATGTAAAAAAAGAAGTTTGCTTGATTCTTTTAAATGCCATTAGATTGGGAATCAGAATTAAACTTACCAAATTTATTTTGCAAACTTTGAATGGGTTTCAATATTCACTTCAGACCCAGTTAAGTTCCACCCTTTATCTCCACGTCATCACTTCAACTTGTATTCAAGGCTTACTAATTTAGGGATGCTCACTGTTTTATGGGCCACCAGCAGTTAGGAGTTCATCCAGTGCATACCCATTTTAAAGAAATAGGATTGACTGATGTGTGCCTCCACTGCTCCTATTCATGTATTAATATGTTTTTCTTGGATAGCCCCACAGTTGAGTTAAATCTAAAGTACAACATTTGTCAGTTGTCATCTCCTTTTCTTAAGACTTTTTGTGTATCTGAATTTTTTTTACAGAATAAGTAGCCACCAGATTTCATTCTATAACCCATATGGATATTCACATACTCTTTTTACATTAAGTTATAAATGTTGGGTGAAAAGTAATCTATAGAATCTTGCAGAAGACAAATACCTACTTTATAGTAGTTATTTGAAAACCAGCCCACATAACAGTTGCTTTGAAATTTTCATGGATGTAGCAACAGTGGATGTATGAGACTTTTTTGTCCTCTGCATTCAAGTTTCTTTCAAAGTGGAAGTGAGGAGAGGCAGGAGAATCAGTGTCTCTGAATGGTATATATTTCTATCTCCTGCCTAAAAAATTTTAAACATTGAGGAGGGGGGATGTAGGAAGTATGGGTGATTCAAGTTTCTTCTCTTACCTTCTCCATGAAGTGCCTTCAGTTATAACCAGAGCCCATTAAGATAAACAAAAGCCTAGCCCAATCCTATGCATATTCATTTTAAAGTACTCTCAGTACAATGAAACATATTCAGGGTTTACTCCTAATATAACTGCATTTTCATTTCAGTGAACCTTGTAGCCACTGACTTCTTAGCTGGATTCATGTTACACTAAATTATGGTTTGTCTTAAAGAATCACTTCCCCAGCATCCCTTCACAACACTAGAGTGTACATTTTCAGAATAGTTATACTTTGGTTTTGATGTTTTAAAGGGATAAATTGTGCCTTACAAGGGTTAAGACACCCATTCTATTTGTAACCCATCAGGAATAAGCTGAATATTTTGGCACTGCCCTTCATTTGAAATTATATCACTGGCATCTCCATGTAGCTATGGAGACTATGTTTTTGAAATATAATTTCTGGCCACAAGAAAATTGCACACATTTAATTATAAAAATGGTTTGGAACAATGTTCCAAACAAAACCTGAACAAAGGACATAAACCAGATTTTGGCCTAATTATGATGTAAACCCAAACTGTATTGTACCCACTAAAACATGTGAAAGATGACTTGAAATTTTGGATATATTATTATATTCTATTTTATCCACTTGGATATATCCTAAATGATCGTAGTTGGATGGAAGTTCCAAAACATTTAGGATTGGGTATACAATTCATTTGAAAGTTTGTTTTGCAAAAATGAATTAGATTGGAAGATTTTCTTGCTCTCAGGATAGAGTTACAAAAGTGATTTAGTGTGGCAGTTCACTAAAGATAATGGAAATATCATCTTTGGACCACCTAATCCAAACATCAATTATCTACCTTGCAAACATCAATTATCTACCTTGTTGCTATTGTTTTTAATGACTGGGAAAATTCTCTTCTTTGGGTTCACCCATCCCCCTGAATCTATTCTTATGTCCCACTGAACTCAATAGGGGTTTACTCATTAATAAATTTCCTATTAGTTTTAGTGGTAATTAACAAGTAATTTTCATTGGTGAAAGGGCCAGAGGCTAAAACCTGCTCACAAATCATTTCTTTGCATTCTATTGTAATATGTGTAAAAACATTTCTCACTGAGTGTCATGATATTTTTTCCAGATTAAAAAGGAACGGTCAAATTAAAATATTTATGATAACTGGCAGGTTAACTAACAACCACTGTTACTTCTATCAAGAATGCTGTTGAAGAATTTAATTAGCATTAATTTGTATAGAAATAACATGGGCAATAATTAGAATTATTTTCTGTGTGTTCCAAATAAAACAACTCTACCAAATTAAGTTTCTTCCTGGGTTATATTATTCAGACAAGTGGGATATGCAACACCATGTCACTGTGTGAGTCCACCTCTTCAAGTTTTTAGCTATGCTTTCATTCAGAAATTCCATTCCACATCCCCTGCTCCCAGATTTCTAGTCCACACCCAAATAAGACATCCTTTGGTCAGCAAATATGTTTCATTCAAAATGAGGAATTTATTTAGCTGTCTTTGTTTCATTGGTTTGCTGGTTTGTTTGTTCCTTTCCCCATTTTATTTATTTATTGGGTATTCTTTAATACATCCTTAACATTGATGAAACTGATTAGTTTTTCATCCCTTAATTTTCCTGTTATGGTCTTTGCAATCACAGAAGAATTAAAGTTCCTGATTTGGCTATTCTGTTTTCTTTTGTTCGTTTTTTCCAAAAACTGGAGAGTTCTCTGACTTTATATGGGAAATGTTTACAGTCCATCCAATACAACTGAGCTATGGGGTGTGATAAAAGTTTTTTCAACAGTAAGTGCTGCTCCACTGTATTAATATAGCACAGATTTTAAAAACTGTATTCAGCATATAAAGTCAAGTCCCAGTAATTTTAATACTAAAATTAAAACGTGCATAATTTTCTTCTTTGTCTACTCCTATTATATTGTACAAAAATTTAGAAGAGTTTTAAACACTTTGGTCACCAAAGTTGAATCCCAGTCTGTTACTACACAGTTCCATTGCATTAGGTTTTCATTGTTATGGTTTGTTTGTTTTATTTTTTCATGTAGGCTTTTTTTGTATATATATATATATCTATGATAAGAGAAATTAAATAGCAATGGTCTTAAGTTTTTCTGTTTTTTTAAAAAATATAAATAATTATTATCATAACAATACAATGGCATCAAAGTCTGCAAATGGATTCGGCACATCACAAAAATAAATTCTGAATTCTTGCATATGTGTTTTTAAATTATGTTCTGCAATAATTAAGGAAATTTTTTAATGAATAATATTAATGCAGATTGAATATATTTTTTTACTGCTCGTATTATCATCTTTGGCCAAATCTTTTTATTACAGGTAGTCCTTGCTTAATGACCACAACAGGTCCTGGAAAATTGGTCATTAAGTGAGGCGGTCATTAAGTGAGTCGCAATGTGACCAGACCCAATTTTATGACCATTTTTACAATGGTCATTAAGCGAATCACATGGTTGTTAAGTGAATCGTGTTATTAAGCAGATCCAGCTTCCCCAATGTTCTTGCCAGAATTCACTTAATGACAATGTGATTCACTTAATAACCATGTAATCCACTTAACAACTGTCATAAAAAAGGTTGCAAATTGTGATCATGTGACTGCAGGGGGTGCGATGGTTTGTGACTCTGGTAAGTGTGAGTACAGGTCATAAAGCACTTTTCCAAGACCATCGTAACTTTGAACCATAGTTAAATGAACTATTAAGTTAAGTGAGGACTATAATAATGAGCTATTTTATTTGACATATTTTCCTTACAGTTTTTATACTTCATATTATGAGGCATAGACCAACCCACTACAATTTCAGTGAATTTACATGTACCTCAGCATTCATTCTGAGGCTGGCAAATGCTGCAAGCATTGTGATTACAGTTGCAACATTTCCCATAATTTGACATTCAAATGAATGGGAAAGTCCTGCCCAATATACTTAAGTTCATTAAATCAAGTTTGACTCTTGGTGACCACATGGACAAATATTCATCATTTTGATCTCTCATTAGCTCTTCCAAGGACATTCCATAATCTCTTCTATCCTGCCCATCCACTTTATCTATCTTTTCTTCCTTCTATTTCTCTCAGCCTTGCCAAACTAATTATTTTTTTACAGTAGTTCATCATCTGTTTGCATCATGTGCTAGCAGAAAATGTTAGTTTCTACTAGCTGTTTCTAAATTTGTTTCTCCAGATTTAATTTGTACATTAGCTTCTTATTCATTGTAAAGATTCCTCAGTAAAATGTTCTATGTTAAAATGTTCTAGTGTACCCATAAAGCTTTAATATGTTCCACATTGTGGAATGGTATACTCAATCAGTCCTTTCTGTAGGTCATGAAGCAAAGGTAAGCCACCTTATCCTACCTTGCTTTTCTGAGTATCCATCTTGTGTCCTACTTATACTGAAACCTATATGTTCATTTGGCATTTATTCTCAACATGTATAGCTCCACTGTTCTTTGTAAAATAGTAATTCCTCATTCAAGCAATGGTGCAGTGATTTGTATGGTACCTCTTTTCCTTGATACAGGTGTATGTAATATATGTGTGTGCATGTCTATGTGTGTGTGCGTGTATACAGAGACACACACATTAATCTCTTCCCATTTATAAGCCACACAATCACAAACTAGTACTGCCCAGTTCTATGGCTGGTCTTTTGCCTATTATAGCTCATTTTTTACTAGAGTTATAGTCTGTCTCTGCAGGTATTTCTGTCATTCTGTGATCCTGTTTGTAAAGCCCTGGTGTTGTCTTTCCATCTTAATTTAATCTCACTTGCATCTATTCACTTCCGATTTCTCTGTTCTTACTAAAAAGATATCTCGTTATCTTTTTCCCGTTGACACTCTTGTCCTTTCTTGCCTGACACAGAAAGCCAATGTTCAGTCATCACTGATCTTTCTTGGTTGCCCATCTTCTGTTTTCCCTAGCTATCAGAGTAGCTTTTTCTGAAAGCCACCAGAACCTTTTCCTCTTTGAAAGTTTGGGAATATACAGTATATATTTTTTCCAGTTCAGTTTTCACAATGTCTTTCATTTCTTTCTGTAAATTTTTTTTCACATAAGTTAAGCATACTAAATCTATACTTACACTGATCATATATTCTGGCTACACATAATATTGAAGGAATGGCTACTCACTTAATTTGTTAAGTTAAACCCAAATACTTGGTACCAATCATTCATAGTCTGTTTCATTGTGTACATCTGGAAAAGTTCTGGATGATTGGACTGCACTTCCCAAATTCTGTTTCCTG